TGGTGTTATTGTGAACAACCTATATTACCAAAACGTTGCCTAACCTTGAAGCACCCCAGTGGTATGCGGCATTTTTACTCAGTTAATTAAAATCTGAATATTTTTCTGCGGTCATTATGTTATAAGTGCGGAGAAAACCCTTTCAAAAGCAAAAGCTTGTCAGTAACGTAGATTTCATTGAGGAATCAACTAGATAAAATCGTCCATTATTTAAAAATACTAAAGTGCAAGTAGTTTGTTACTTTACCTAAAAGCAATGGAACAACCCCAGTCCAGACTAAAACAACGCCAAACTGTGCAGAGACTAGTACCCGATTTAGCCAGCTAGGAATTTTGTCTCTCACCCAAAATACAGAACTGATTTCCGTTATTTCTCACAACGTAGGATACTTATTCATATTTGAAATGCGCTATCGACCATTTATCAGTATGCCATAGTGAACGTCATTGGCGCCTCCTATACAAAACTACAATTGCGTAACCTTATAAGGAATATACTTAAGTGGTTTTTTGTTCTATTTGGAGTAATCTATCCTTTGATCCATGATTCTTTATCAATTGTACATATCAATTTGCTACAAATGTCTGTAGATGCTGCTATTAAATTTTCATAGGTCAAAGGCACAAAAAATGAGCACTTCCGTAAAAAACATTTGTTGACAGTGCTTAAATTTATCTGCTAGAAGCGATCTGGAAGGTTCTGGATGGAGATATATATCAGCATAAGATTAAATGGTGGATTGTTTTAAAAGCAAGTCCTACTGGACATGTGGCTCATTTCAACACAGCGCGTGCATACGAGTGCAAACATAAATTTGCCCCATTTCAACTGCGTCTTCCACACCCGTCTGGTAGACACTTGGACTAGCGTGCTTCATTAAGTCCTGTCACTGCTTTTTTGTGTGCTGTCAGCACCTCCCCCCGTCCGTACGCACAAGCGCACCTGCACAGTGAGAAGTAGCCAATTGCCTGATAGATTAGTTGTGCGTGCGCTAATTGGTTGTGCGTTCGTGCGCGCACTTGCGTGCGTATGTATGACCACGACGGAAAACACGTGTTCAAATGGCGACGCAAATCTTGGCATACACTATGCCGCTCCGCGGCCAGGCATGAGATCATCCAAATTCACTTCTAACATCCATTCCCTTCCTCTTCCCTTACACACCACCATCATCCTCCTGCTCCTGGTTCCCCTCTCTAAAGGATTTATTGCCAGATTTGAAATCAACGAGGGTGTCCCTGTGGAAAGTCATGTGGGCTCATTGGCGTCGCATAGTCACTCTCCAAGTGGTAGTTTAATATACAATAAGGTGCCCAATCTGAAAGACGCCTCGAGGTACTTCAATGTGGACAAGTTTTCTGGCCGGATCAGTGTGGCCCTCGATTTGGATAGGGAGGTGATTTGTCCCCTTCCCACTCACAAACCTGATGACGAATGCATCCTTCGGTTCAGCGTGACCTGTCTTCGGATCGTCGGCAGGAGTGTCGAAGCCATAGCTGATGTGGTGGTCACTCTACGTGATGTCAATGACAACGGATGCTACTTTGTACCCTCTACAGAGCAGACCATTCTAATTCGGGAAAATGCTGATGTAGACAAAACCCGAGTTCAGTTAAACTCACCACTAGACCCTGATAGTGCGGGGCTTGGTCACTCCATTCAGTGGAACCAGGTGAGGTTGGAAGACCCCTCAGCAACTTTTCATCTTCATGTGGTCTACTCAAGAACAGGAGGTAATTTGCGCAGTTCCCATCCTGTGGGCTATCGACAACAGGATGCACAGTTATTCCTTGGTCTTCTTCGACCTCTTGATTATGAGAGCAGTAAACAGCATTATCTAACCATTGTGGCTGGCGACGGCCTTCATGAATGCAAGCTTACAGTCCGTATTGAAGTTGAAGATGCAGATGACAATCTGCCGATTTTCGAAAAGGCAGTCTACAACGTAAGTGTCGCAGAAAATCTGCCCTTTAACGAGAAAATTGTCACCGTCAAAGCTCACGATGCAGATGCTGGTGAATTTGGAAGGGTGTTTTATTCTATTGATCCCTACCTCACGGACCCCTCTAACCTGGAGATGTTTCATGTAGATCAAGAAAGTGGGGCCATCTTTCGAAAAAGCAAACCCCGTTATCAAGACTCATTGCACTACCAGTTGACCATAAAAGCCAGTAACAACGCTCAGTCATCTGCCATTCCACCTGCGACCTACATCGGTGGTCAGTCCAGCTTTCTGACCAAGGTTTTTATCACTCTGGAAGATGTCAATGACCACGAGCCTATCATTACCATATTTTCTCCCACTGGTTCAAAAAAATTAACCCTCACTGAGAATTTGCCCGGTGGTCGGGATGTTGCAATCCTAAGTGTGGAGGATAAAGATACAGGAGTGAATGCAGTCGTTGAATGTCATTTGAAATCACAGTCTATTCGAGGGGCTCTTTTACTGCGTCCAATGACATCGGAAACGGAATCTTTCGATCATTCTGCTAAGGTTGCCACAAGTCGAAAGTATAAATTACTGACAACTCGCTCGTTCGACCGTGAGCAGCATCCAGAGATACACTTCACAATTGAGTGCTGGGATGGTGGCAAACCGGTTATGCGATCGATTCAAAAAGAGACGATCCACATTATTGACGTAAACGATTGTGCACCCATTTTTGGAAACAAGACCCATCATTTCCGAGTGTACGAAGACCCAAGCCCTGGCACTGCTGGAGTAATTAGGAACAGCATTCAGCCAGAACAGATTGGACAAATTAGGGCTCGTGATGACGATACCGAACAGAATGCAAAATTGCAGTACCAATTCTCCTCCGAGTGCCCACAAAGTTTCCTGGACCTGGTAAAATTAGACAAAGATACTGGAACATTGCACTCAACAGGAGGATTGGACCGAGAAAAATTAGCTTTTATAAGCTGTAAAGTTATTGCCAGTGATATGGGATCTCCACCACTCTCAAGTCAAACTGAAGTAGCGATTGAAATTCTTGACATGAATGACAATGCGCCACAGTTTGAGCACCACGAATACAATTTTCAAGTGGAAGAGAACTTACAGTCTGGAACATTAATAGGCATCATTCGCGTTTTTGACGTTGATCTTGGTATCAATTCCAAGTTGGAGTTCAGCTTGGAGGGTATGCAAGCCACCCCATGGTCGAAAGAAGATAACATGGAGAGTCTCTTTTCCAGTGTTAATCCGAAGAGAGAAAAACTGAGTAGTCAACACCTGAGTCTCCTACGGTTCGAAGCTATACCTGTAAGAACGCACTTGCCTGGTGGACACTATGGACGCAATTCAAGTCGCGGTGAAGAAGATGGAGGTACCTACGAGGTTCGACTGTACACTGCGGCCCCAATAGATAGAGAATCACTTGTCTCCCTGCCTGCAATTGATGGTAGTGTTTCTTCAATGAATGGCTCAGCCGAGACTGTAGTGCTCCGATTTATGCTTCGGGCTCAGGATTCAGGTAATCCACGTCTTGTCAGTCGAGTTCCCATCAATCTACGGATCTCTGATGTCAATGACAATGCACCGGTATTCATCTTGCCTCCAGCAGATTCCGTAAACGCTACGGAAGTTCGGCTGTCTATTCGCGAACCTATTGGATTCCAGTTTACTAAGGTCAGTAGAGCATTCGTTTCTTTGAAAAAATAGTCTACCTAGGAAATTGATCTCGTTTTCTGTTTAGGTAAGTGGATTTATTAAAGCAATATAGTAGTGATTGCCAAAATGTAGTTTTGTGGCGTTTTTCCACACAGAAAAAAGACAGTTCACTCTGGCTGGTGTGTTTACATTAGAACACTTGTGCATGTGATGAAGCATAAAAAGAATAAAAGAAAGCAATCCAAAATAGGCCTAACAATACCGTTAGTTGGGTGTCTGGAAAGCATGTTGATGCTCACTAAACCTTCATGAAACTTAGGTATTTTTAATTAACTTTGATCAAGTACATTCAGTTTACTAAACGATTTTTTGTAATTAGTAGCACACTTCTGACGCTCTAACTCACCCAAAAGGTAGGTAAAATTGTTGACACAACTTCCCTGACTGGAATCGTTAAGCAATTCCCAGCTTTAAGCTCTCTTTTTGCGGGGGATTAAGACAGCTACAGTTTACCTCGTAGCAATATAAAGACCATTCCACTGGCGGTGGCAAGATTTTGGACCCAATTTAACAACCATTTTGGCAATCTACCGAAGAGAAGCTTGACTAAATTTTAGTATTGCGTACAAGGTTTTGTGGCCACTGAGGTGGGTCGAGAAATGTGATGTCAATCAGGGATTCCGCACTATTGTGAGCTTTAGGGGAACCGGTTACTCGTGGATTAAAATTTTAGTTTCCTAACCTTTAAAAACTTTGCTTCATTCAGAGAATAAATAAATATATGTGTAATCATTTTCAGCCCTAAAAGTTTGCCACTACATAAATACGCGATGGCACAAGGACAAGCTTGACATTCAGCAAAAACTTCACTTATAAAATATTATACTACGCTGAAATCCCAAAGACCCGTGCTTGAGTTCTCTCAAAAATGCTCCTGCGTTTTTAATAACTAACACATTTGAACTGATATTTGTTTATGTAAATTCTTTCATCAAGATCTTGAGAGAGTGTAGGAGCAAGAGTTAAAATTCAGACCGTTTTGGACTTTCAAGGACGAGAACGATCATTCCACTGTCATAATCTTCATAAAATTTACTTGCCGCTGTCATTACCAATTTATGATTCCTGTACTTTTGCACTACAGCCTCTTGACTTGACAGAGCACTTTACATACAACGTAGCAGCTGGGTAATCGGCCAGCGATGGCCGAGTTATAAATCATTCTATATTCATCCCAATGTCACTCCGATATTAGCTAGGGGTAGTCATAACTTTCCACGCACAGTGTTGCTAAGTCTTACTAGAGTTTTCAAGAAGGTTTTGAGGTTGCTACCATGCTGCATCCGTACCTCCAATTCAAGTTCACACATTTCCTTCACGTGCCTAAGCAACTGCCATAACACGAGCAAACAAAATTCCTCTGTCAACCACTGTTTACCATTTAAAGTATTAGCTTGCAAATGTCTTTAGGTATCAAAATTACCAGCATCTCCAAACAGAAAAACAAATTTTAAGAAACAGGCAAAACCTAAAGAAAATGTAGTTTGTCTAGGGTAATACCTACTAAAGGTTTTGGCAGACCGAATCCCATTTTTCAGACAAAATCGGTGTTCAAAAGGGGGAATAAATGACATTTTAGCAGTCCAATAAGCTCAAAAGATGTCACTATTTAACTCAGAATACTTGACTATACATCACCTCTTCAACAATGGTGACTCTCAGGGTTATCAATTGCTCCCGGAGCTTTCTTACAACGCGCTTGTCCAAATTCACGGTCTACAGGCGTGTCCTCTATCGAGAAGAGTGCTGAAAAAATAGCACAATTTGAGAAACAAGAACAATTTCCACTTTCTATTTTCTCTACAGATCAAAGTCATGACGTTTGTGATATTTTGGTCAATATATTCCTGACAAAGTAGAGAGCACCATGATAGCCCCATTCTTGGAGTTTTCGAAATTGCTCTACTACCAGTTTTGGCCTTTGGTGAGTAATTACACGGCTAACTTGAAGAAATAATGTTATCAAGACTTTCCACACTTTCTTTTCATTATTACTTGAGTATTGTATTCATATCATCAGGTTAATTTTTCATGGATCCTGCTTTAAAGTTACGTCCTAGTTGTAAATTCTTATTTACAAAAAATAAGACCTCTCCTCTTTCTTGTGAATATAAGATTAAATTGCAAGCCAAAAATTGTGTTTAATGGGTGCGCAATTAGGAAGTAACACTCAATATTTAGTTTTTGTATATTAGCCAGGATTTTTATCCTAATTGTATTCCTTCGGGGTCGTTTCATCTAGGCCGTTGAAGCGGAACTATTTCCCCAAAATGAGAACGGGAGGGGAACTCAGTTGCGCATTTAATAAGAATGGATTCGCATGATGGATGCAAAAGGGCAGTCACTTTCCCAAGTGATTGACAAATGATCTCCCTGTCGATCAGTTTTGTCTCTTTAACATGAAAACACCCATTTGTTTTAGTCCTGTAGTATATTTTCAGCTCATTTCAAATGTCCATTACTAACTAGGAATTTCTTTTCCTCAAGAGAAGAAAAGCAAATTGCCTGGACGGTAATTGGTTCCAGCGGGGCGCTTAGTGACCGCTTGCGGGAAACTGGGGTACGCATTCGTCCCCTACCTCCACTCACGTTTTGCCAACGAGAGCGAGCATAAAATTGACATAAAAAGCTCTCCTGCCCAAGCGTCTGTTTATTCTCCTCTCTCCTGTCCATTAATCGCCTCATATAGCTGCTGATCCAACCAGACCCCGCTAATAGTTCCGAAGTTCCAAAAAATTTTAGTCTTGTCACTTGTGAATTTGATTTGTGTCTGCCAAGTTATCAAATCCAACTCCAAAACACTTTAGGCTTTCTAAATGAACTGGATCGAAATTCTTCAAGCTGCACACAAAGTCCTTGTGCAGAACGGATGGGAAATTAGCGAAAAATACTATCCTCATTTAATTCGACAAATAAAAGTGGTCTATTTAATTCGGTTTTCCACTAATTTTAAAAAATTGGAATGCTTTTACTATTATGAGGTTTATATCCCAGTCTCTAAAATAATAAAGTATTTTATATAGAGGAATTTTTTGAATCAGTCCTTTAATGTACCTTGTAGAGAAGTTTGGCGTATTAACAGCCCAACTTTTAATAAGCCCCTATTAGTCTTGAATTTCAGTTAAATAACCTGGTTTTAACTAATTCTTCATTCAGACGACGAAAAGAGCATGTCTCAAAATCTACTCACTCCAAAGTAAATGAAGGTAGTTCCTTGTTTGTAATTTTTATGGATTTCAAAACTAACTCCCGCTACCCTTTCTCATGCATCAGTAAGCATAAGTTCACGTGGAAGCTCTAGGTGGAGAGCATCTAAGGAGTGAAAGATTTATCTGTATTGGTGAAATTAGTGCCTTATCAGCTACCCGGTCTAGAGTTTGTCAGCTTTGCTTTGCATCTATTTTAAAAAAACTAGCACAAGTCTCCCGTTCACTTACCCTTTCCCTCTTTGGGGATAAGAAAGCTGGTTAGATTGTTAGCACTGACCTAAGCGCTGCCCTCTTGGGGCTCAATAAGGAGTGCAGCTAGTTAATTATTAACCGCCAATACTACTCCTGCTAATTTCGTAACAACGTCTACGAATTGGTGAATTTGTTTACAACTTACTGTGTGCCATCATACTGCTCAAAAACTAGTGAGCCAAACGTCTGCATATAGATATCTACTGAAACAAAGTGTTCATCTCTAAAGCTTGTACAATTTCAGCGGTGGAGGAATAATTTGAATGTGTTTTACTAACAAAAAACCAGCCAATGATTAGATCATATGTTAAATTTACAAGTTTTCTGTAATCTCTACGAGTTACTAATATCTAGAATTCCTTGAAAAAGCATCATGCAAATTTTAAAAGTTAAATTTATTAACTAAGACTCGTGGTCCCTCAAGTGGTCGACCGCTTATGCTTCCCCAGTATTGGTGTGTGATCTGTAAGCAGTAAAAAATTGGGGATTAAAATTTGCTCTCTAGCACTTTTAATGAAAAATTCACAAGTCCACCAGTTAAACTAACAAGACAGGTTTTTCGCATAAAATTGTGAATGTGGTGACGTTTAAACGCTTAAATTGCTTCGTGCCCATTTGTCAACCAGGAGAGGATCTAAAGCAGTGTTTAATCTTTTGAGTGACCTTTTAAAATCTGCAGTCATAAACCGATTCCAACCAAACCAAAGTGCTTCTCGATAACCTCTGAATAGTGCTGTTTAAAGGTTCCCCCGATGAAAGCCCATCTACAGAGTTCTTACTATCCTATTCTTTGCAATTCCATCAATAATTGGCTCTAATTTTTTAAGCGAATAGGACTAAATCCTACTGAATATCCTTTTTAATGTTTTCTTAACGTCATATCAAAAGTCATTGTTACGATGAAAGGCCACTCGATCTATGACGGTTGAGAGCGTGCATTTGTTACCAAGCTAATAAGGCCCAGAATATGGTGACTGAGTTCCCGCAGAACCCTAGAAAATCGGTATTTTTAGTTAAGTGCTTGTGTCCAATGGGGAAAAAAACTTGCCCCTCTGTTTAGATGTCGATGAAACAAGAGTTAGACACTACCCTTGGGACCTCTTTTTTATTAATTATTGGGGAATTCAAAGGTATGCACCCCTTCGATGGTGTACCTTTGAAAATATTAGTGCATATCCCTTTTCATCAAAAAATCATAATAAAGGCGAGTTTAGGCTTGTTCTTTATCGGATTAATCGGTTCATGAAAACTTAACTCAAAACCTGGTACTAGGGTTTGAATATTCAATCGTTTTCGTTAAAAATCCCTACTGGTATAACATGTCTTATCCTACCTTGGATTTCAAAATATTTGCAATTAAAATCAAAGCAAACGACAAGTAGACTAAACTGCGAAACCTGAATTTACAAATGTATTCACTGTTGTAGCTATTAGTTTCTTTGTACGAATAGTAGTTAAACTAATTATTTACAGTCACAATGAGAAATATTTTGGATTTTGTGAGTTGAAGCAAAGGCTGTGTCTGTTTCGGTTGTCAATATGCAATCAAGTTGGTTCTAGCGATCGACAGGTCAGAACCGCGTATTGAATTGAACAAAAGGCCATTTCTCGCACCCTTGGGCACGTACGAATGCTTGTTTACATGTTGGAGGGTGACAGGACACAATGATACCCAAACAATATGATTCAAAAATGGACGGGAAGGAAGAGACGAGATATATCCATTCAGTTTTCCAGCGGACTAGCAACCGTTTTCATAAGAAGCGTTTCGGTGGCATAAAACGCTGGTCGTGACCCGAGGAGGTCGTGGTGGCGAACAGAAACCGCCGGAACACGTTTCTTCGGGCGCGTGTGACCGTTTGCAGATAGTTTATGCGGCGTTTAGTCGGGTTACAAGGGAAGGCTACTGAATGTCGAGTTCCACATTTCATGAAGTCTGCCAGGATCTATTCAACGACCCGTGTTTCTGTTTATTACCTTTAAACCCTGTTACACGAATTCATTTGATTTAAATTTTTGAAACGAATCTGCAACCATCTCTAGGAAGTTTATTTGAAGTGATAAGTTAGCTAAATTTATTGATTTTTCCTATTTTTGACATTTTTCCAAAACGAGTTGAACATAATTTTCCCAAATAATTTGAAAATTTAAGGTAAGTATTTTAAGTCGCCATTTTATTTCAACCAGCATGTGAGGAATTTTATGTAAAAGGAACTAAGTCTTATCGAACTTTTTATTTTCGTTTCAAAAGACTTTGTTAAATTTGCTATCTTATGTGTAACTGTGCGTTTGCTCCCATTTTTTCGAGATATTTTTTGATGAATACAGTTATTTGCACATGGGTCGTATTTGAATTTAGATGAGTTTGCACAAAAGGCTAGTTTCTTTATCAGATTTATGATTTTCTAAAAATTTTCCGTTAGTGCTAAACTTGCTAAATTATATTGCCTCTATAAGTGCTATATGCAAATAAAATTTCTAAGTGCATAGCAATACCACTTCAAAGAACACCTTATTTGAAAAATTCACGTCTTTTCTGACTTTTTAGTAAATTAAAGTACCGTAAAGGAATATATTAATGATGTTTCCAACCCCACTTAAGAGTGCGAAAGACGCTAAGGGGGAAAAAAATTCATCACAAGCAGCACTTTATTGTTTTAATTGGCCAGCATATTAGCTGGCGTTGCTGCCTCAGTACATCTTGAAAAATGCTCAACCTACCAAACGCGGTTCCATCATTATCTTTGTTCGTCAGTGGAGCCTTTGCAGGAAATTTTGGTTTTCCATCATCTTGTAGTAAAAATCGGCAAACCATTAAGCCTAGTGAATGCTTCTGCCGTTTTTCAAATGGCAGGGAAAGAGACCTTGAATCAACACGCAAGGCTAAGCCAGATTTTAAAGCAGCTACTAAGGAACTGAGCTTTCCACATTTACAAACCTTTCGATGGAAGGCAGTACTGCTCGTGGCTCTAATCAATTCATAAAATTCTGGTTTTTAGCAAAAACGGAAAGTTTTTGGAACCGCAGTTGGCAAATACTTTGAATGCGGTCTTGAAGTGGTTCTGATAGGATTGCATTCTGGTTTCGTCAATTTTGTGGATACTACTAGTAAATATTCCAGAGTCTTTATGTGTCTCAATAAAATAACTCCAGAAATTTTAGAAAGGTTTCGATGCAGAAAGTCATCACTTTGACCTAATATCATCACAAAACTAGTCCTAACTATCACCCATAATTATCCGGAAAAGGGCGAGTAATAAATTATCTTTTTAAAATGCGTCCTCTGGATGTTTGTATTAATGATAACTTTAAATGTGCCTTAAAATTCCAGCTTATAGGTATAAATCATTTTAAATTTCTGACCATAGTTATGAGACAATGCTGATCTTTTAAAATCTATGGAATACGAATTTTTATGAACTGTCTTAAACAAAAATATGGCGCTTGCATTTAAATTACTGCATAAGCGCTTGAATATGAATTGAAAAGTTGTATCATTTTCTAAACTCAAGATCGAGACTTTAGTCCAATTTTAACCAAAATATTGCATTGTTTTTGAATGAACAACTTTTCATAATATTAAAAAACTAGTATTTATGGGCGAATTGATATGGATGGAAGTAATAGTGACTTCATTTCGTTTTGTAATTTTGCTGGATATAAATTGCTTCCTACCGGGACTGCAAAGTGGGCGCATTAACATTTGGCAAAGATAAAATAGGGCAATAATGGAACATGCAATAAACTTTCCTTTTGCCTCATTTATTTACTCTTCTTTGAACCCTTACTCCCTTACTAAATGAAAAGACAAGTAAACGCAGTTGTGCCCTTACTAGGAATACACGGAGAACCGCATCAGATTGTCATCTTTCATAGAATTCACTTAACTAAGGTGAGACAAAGTTCCGTTCCATTTCCTCGCGCTAATTTACGGTGACCATTCTTCTCCCCCCTGCTCTCCCTACCCGGCTGATTTGCCTCCAGAGAAGATTAAATTATTCGTCCTCTAACATACCGCATTCGTATTATTAGATCGGTGAGCATCGGCTTTATAAATAAGTCAACCAACGTTTCCTTGACTAGGCAAAATAAACCACCCTTTTGGATCCCAAAAAGCCAAGATTATTATTTCAAAGCTCCAAGTAACCATTATTTGCCCTAAATTTTCATCCCTACAGCTGAAGTAAAAGGGCCATTTATCAGCATATCTTGAGGCAAATCATTTTTTAGTTATTCCATTTTATCAAAGTGGCTAAAAATCTATTCAAGATAACGCAAATATTTTAAGAAAGTGAAAACCTTAAATCACTCATACCCTTTATGACTTTCATTAAAATTTGGTTAGATTGCAAATTGCACCGTTGATAGGTCTTTAAAGTGGTATTTTAACTGTTGTAATCAGTATTAAATATCGAGCGACATTATTGCAATAATGGTGCAACTGGCTACTTCCAAAGTTAAAAAAGGTCTACTAGTAAAATTTTGTTTTCGAAAGAATGAAATGACTACACGTTTGCATAATTAAAGATTTGGGGGTTTTTCAGATTAACAGTGGGTTTCGCTTGTTAACTAGTAAGGGAAAAAAACATGAAAAGTCTTTTTATTTATAAAGTTCGAGGCGGTTAAGTCCTGGAAACTTTTTTTGCCACTAAAATGAACTATTCCCGTTTTCGCAAAAATGAGTGTTCAAGTATGAATAGATGACTGTAAAACGCAATGTTTTCAGTTCCTTGGAAAATACGAACTTATGAGCTTATTATTACAGCTCATTGTCTGGTGAACCAACTTGCTATTTTGGAAATTGAGCAGTAGTGTCTTTCTCTCACTCTCTCTGTTTTTGTCAAATCGTTTTTTATACTCACGAGATGGCCACCCACGATAAGTGGTAACTGCGTAAATTAATGCTAAACATTTTTTTTCACACTCGCCACACATCATTTGCGTACACGGAGAGAAGAGCTAAGAGGGGGAACAGCGGCAGATGATGGGCAATGAAATTGTCAGAATTTACGCCTACATGAGTCAGGAAGTAGGAACGCTGGTGCAGTTCGTAATCCGCATCATTTAATTGCTCCGCATGGACTGTTCTCTCAGGGACTTCCCCTTAAAAAAGCGATCCTCTTATTAGACAGAAAGTGGCACTTTGGTTGGTTAGGCCAAGGCAGAGGAGGATGTGGTAGCACTGCCGCGAAAATATGACGTCAAAATATTTTTTTACCGGAGAAGTAGAACGAAGTCAATCCTTGCTAAGTGCTCACGTCTTTTGGTTAGCAGATCATAACTTCTGTTTTGGAACTGAGCAATGGTTTGGTAGTAAATCACGTTATATGTTAAATTTGCCCACATCTTCCTTCATATCTTTGGACGCTCCTCCTTCATGCATCCCTTCGGACAAAATTGGAAAATTACTGTAAGTGGATTATTTTGCATGGTATATACCACAGAAGTATTCTTAAAGCGATGAATTTTTGAAAGACAAAACCATCTTAGGTAGTGAAATTACTTCCATTCTTACTTCTAAAAAATATCCCACTGATCCACCAGTACAGGACAGATATAGCTCGTTTGTTACTGGCAGAGAGTCCAGTTCCAGTAGAAAAGCCAATTTTTTGCATAATCGCTTGTAACTTGTGTAAATCTTAGAATTCATGAGATAAAAGTGCTGTAAATAAAGTTCCTTCCCCCCTTCAGAAAATGCATGGCCACCAATGGGCCTGAAAAGCACATTTTATGCTAGATTTTTAGACTCACAGTGGTCTAAATTCAAGATGTTTCAAGAATTCTGCTTGACATATATTTCCATGATACTATGGTGTAATAAAGAACAATAATATTAATAGATCCAATTAAGTAAACTGATTTTTCTGTGTCGTCAAAATGCGACAATGACTGCCGTTGCCCTCATTCGAATGCCGAACAATAATGCGAATCTCGACAAAATGAACCCCAAATTATCAATGGAAAAGTTGTTCTGCATAATGCCTCATTAACAGGCGCAGCATTCGACGGATAACGCAGAGTAGTTATCACATTTCCCTCAAGTGAATAATTCATATTGACTTTGGTCAATTACTTCTAACTATCGCCAGGAAAAGTAAGACAGAGAAAGAAGACGGAATCAAACAGAGAAAAGCTGACTAGTTTTGCTTACTCTTTAGATCTTTGCCTCCGATCCTGATGCCGCAGAGAACGCTAGTCTCATCTATCGCATTCGTGCCGGTGATCCATTCGATCTGTTCAAACTGGACCCACGGAGCGGGGAGCTCTCAGTTGCAAAGGACTGTAGTAGCTCAGGCCAGTACATGGGCCAGTACCTCCTCTTCTTGGAGGCTGCCGACCGTGGATCACCACGACGTTTCAGTGAGGCACAACTCCTTATCCATATGGACGACTCAGAGCCGTTAGGTCGAGTAGAACGTGACATTTTTGGTTTTCCCATTCGTTCATCGGTTCGTGGTGGCAGTAGCGTTGGAGGAGCAGGCAGTCGCAGCATGAACCTCTACATCATCACTGCTATCATTATCGCCTCCTTTATCATCTCCAGTGTCCTCCTGGTGGCTATTTGCTTGGTAGTACGAAGGGCAAGGACGACGGAGCAGAATGGAAGAGGAGTAGGGCGGTACTGTGGTGGTGGGAGGGATGGTGGAGGAGGCCTTCATAACGGATCCATCTTCCGTGATACAAACATTGGAAATGGCTACTTGAAGTCGGTGCCATTGTCGCTACCTCAAACGAAGTATACGACGTGTGATCCTCTGGATGAAGGTGAGTCAATTTAACTGCAAGGATTGCGCGTTTATCCCATGTGAAATCTAACCAAATGCAACTGAACTCCTAAGGGGTCATGATTAGGTTTTCCTACTTTCAGAAAATGTTTACTTTTAACGCATTTTGTCACTCTGTTGAAATTTGGAAGATTATTTTATGAAAAACTTTAAGTTGGAAGTAAAATAAAAATTGACTATGCATTCCATTCAGTGAATTCTCTTTTGTATAAAATCGTAATGAAGATTGATTCTAATAATTCCGCTACGCCTTGTGATAGGATTTGTGAACAATTTGCTTGCTTTTTTCCTTGTGTTAGGGTCTAATTTACATAAAAGAACCATTATATGCTGTGCTTTAAGAACACAATTTCGATTAATTTTCCGTTTTGTGCGATTTACACCCCGAGCCTCGTATAGGGCGATCAATTTCCTTGCCGTTCAAAGTCTAGGTAATGCTATGTGTGATTGACCTATCTGACTAAGAAGTAGTAAAAAACCATTTGCCTTAGGATGCTGCATTCGCACAAATGGCCTAAAGCAATGCACAAGATGCATTTTAGCAAACTCGCACATGACAACGGCAAGCTATTCCTTGATGAGAACGGCTTTAAGTTACGTCTGGCTTACTACTCACACGTCATCTGGTTTGTTGGTGAAGGTGAAGGAAATCTGAAACGTTCCCTTTTTATTTTACAGCCAAAATGTTTTCCTTTATTCACAAATTGTTTCCACATTAAAATTTAATACGCATGCAGCTGCTTTACTTACCTATTTGTCGAGAATAGTTAGCGGGAACGTTTTATAATTTTATAAGATAAAAGAAGTGCGTTAAAAATCCATTAATAAACTTTGGAAAAATTGTTGGAATTTCAAAATTCTAGAAGTGACATTAACTCGTTATTTGAGGCCCTTAATACATTCCTATTAACAGAAGTTTCTAATTTTAAATCCTGCTCCCATTTTAATGGACCAATTTGGGTATGGTATTACGAATCAAGGTTAATAGTGGCAAATATGATTACTTATCTCAAGACTTAAGACCCCAGCTTCAGGCGGTTTCAAACTTTTAAAGCGTTTTTGAAATTCAAAAAATCATTTTACTAACTCAAGCACTTTTGAATTGTGCCTGAATGACCTTAAAATTGGTTAGTCCAGGTGAGACGTGGTGAATTTCATTCTGATTATACCAGTTTCAGGAAGTATACGGGTGTTGGATAAGTAAAAATTCACATCTATTTTTTCGGAGTAACTGCTGATGCAAAGCATTTTTAGAATATTAGAGGGTAACAGCCAAACTCCCACGAAACGACTATTCTTGGAGTGCACGATAGAAATGAACAATGTGATTAAGAATGAAATGGGAAAACTATCACCTATTTATGGAATTGAAGCTTTGGTTTTACATGATCTTCTGCTACAAATTGACTCTGAATATCGTTTTTACCATTTCTACACTTAAAGGAGATCGATGTGGTCATCTACCACTAGCATGAATAATGATGTTAGTTCTCCCAAAGTTTACCTAGAAATACTGCCAAAATTTACTTAAAAAACAATGCAGCACTTGAGTTATTCATTTAACAGGTATGGCTCCTTCGTGTTTTAAGGTGCCATAATATAATCAGCCTCATCTTTTGTAATTCGTAGGTAAGTAAAATAAGGAAAAAGCTTTTATCAACATGCGCATTCCTTCCTTGTGAGAGGGTGAGTCTATTGACAAACAGTTTTTTAGCTTTTGGAATCAACAAGTGTCTTTTTTCTCGACTTGCGCTTGAAAATGCTCACACGTATAGATCAATTTAAGTTGAATAGAAAATGCTTACACCAGATATAAAAAAGCTATTGGAGTTGGCACTCTCTGTTAGTGAGGTTAAATATATTTCTTCAGAACTGCCATAATGGCCTAAATAGTGGGGGTTTTATAAAGTAAATGTTTAAAAGTGCTTGAGTAATTCGACAGCCTTAATTGATCAGTAATACGAGTAGTGTTGAAGGCAAATGCGACTTTTAAGGTTGTAAAAAATACTTGAATGAGTTTGAGCTACAGCTATGTTTTGGAACATTTCATTATTTACCCAGTATTTGGAATGTTTAGGTACAGAAAATTTTGTTAGTGCGGTTGAACCTTTCCTAACTAACCCCACTGTACTAGTACCCTGCCAGAGCTGACTATTCCGAGATTCAGAAATTCATGACTGATTGCGTGTACCACGCTGACAGGGATATTCACAGTACTCGCGATTTCATGAAGGCCTATGTTTCGACTGTACTTTAGGGATCAGGTGTTCCATTCACTTGCTAAGTGTTCACAGAGCTGAATACCTGCCATATCCTGAGAACTGCTGCGACTGGGACCGTAAGTACGGTCGTCTTTATACCGTTTATACCCTAAGTATTTTATACAGTTAAACAGCTAAGAGACATAATGCTTTATGCTGCTTGAAGTTTTCTTCAATAGTTCCCATTTGCAAGTTTGGAACAAGCTTCTTTCATTTCACAATGTTGCACGCACACGTCCGCACTACCAATACCAGCTTCAAAGTCTCCGACTGAATTCATTGACCTTTTATGTTGCTGATTACGTGAGTTTGGTGAACGAAAACGCCTGTTAATTTATAGCCTGCATGAGACACAAGTAGGCTGATGTACGTGTTAGCCAAATGAACCAGTCATTTGGCATTAAATAAATGTTTTGTTCTCGTTTGGAAGACCGAACCAATGCTCCGTGATTTAGCAAGTCTAATTAAGGGTCAAATACAGTCTTTTTCACCTGCTACCGTAATTTGAAACCAGAACTGACTTGGAGATAGCTAAAGCAGGATGCTGCTGAGAGGGGCAACTCACTCAGAATACGTACCCATACGTCTATCCGGTAGTCTGTTAATGTCACATTTTGACGATGTGCTTGCGTCTTTCGATGCATTTACATTCAGCAGGTGCTTCACCAAGTGGAACACACGTTACGACCAATTCTGTTGAGGATTATAGTCTTCTGCGTTGATTGTCTGCTAAAGGGGTATGGTATCATATGCACAGAATTCCCTTCCCGATTATTGTACCCACCTACCAAATTAGCTCTTAACATTTTTGGGCGGTTCCTGGATTTTTTGCTTTATCGAATGCTGCACAACAAGTGAGCCGTAACTAATTTAGAAGGCGGGAAGGAATGCGTGTGGCAACGTTTTGACTGCAAGAGAGCCAGACATGAAGTGCGCCTCTGTGGGAAATATGCCGCTTGAGAATTTTCAGTTTGGAACACTGAGCCTTGGTCTGCCTATTGCAGTTTCGTCACGTGTTGTGTGGTCTCCAACGACAAGCCTCACTTTCTGTTCTGTTGAACACACCGTTGCTGTTAGCTGCTTCAGGGCTTGCATAAGCGGTTCGTGACACACAACACTTTCCCGTGAAGTTGATGCAACGCTTCTTTTTTATCACAAGCTATTTATTTCCTGAGGCTAGATATCTACAGGAATCTCGATAGCAAGAACAGAGCTGAGTCGAGACGTCGGGTATTTTTTCCTGCTTTGTCAACTTTTTCTACTATTTTCAAGTACTTTTACTTCATTTCCACGCAGGCGAACAGCTCCGATGCTTTAACATATTGTTTGGGGTATTTTTAATTCTGCAACTCAAAAACCCACCTCGGTTTTAAGCGTGAGTAGAGTTTTTTCTAACTCTAAATTGTAAGAATTAGGAAAGGTCTTAACCTGCTTGAAGGTTTTTCCTCTGCAAAGGGACTACCATAACTTTCACCATAAAGTTTAAGCTGGTCTAAAGACATAAAGGTGACTCGGGACGATAAATTAAATCAACTGTCAAACAACCTGAAATCTTTTTCGAATACAGTTATAAATTATATTAGGAGATGTTTATTTCCTCTCTAGTGTCACCTTATTAAGCGGAGTAGCGGATAGCTCTCCTTTTTGAGTATAGCGATGTTATACAGTACGGATTCTTTCAAAGTGAACAAAATGCAGTGAAGTTATTCATTACTTTCACCATACTTTGGGAAGATCTGACAACAGTTAAATTACCAATAATTTTGACAGTTACAGTGGTGTCTTTATGGTCTTCATAAGACTTTTGAAATATGGTCCACAGCTACTCTATTAGCATAAAGTAGTTCGTAGCCTTGTTGTATTCATTGTGGTTTTATGTTTGGAGAGATATTTTCAAAAACGCAATATTCACTGCAAGCCTAAAAATTTCACGAAACACCTAAAACTGTTGCTCTAATGATTTTTTAAATCGCTGATAGACTTTTTCCGAGTGGAAAGGCTGTAAAAGTGGGATCACAGGGATTAGCAACGCAACCGTGATTTAAAATAAAAGCCCTCTTATTGCTTGTGTTTGCGGATACTGGTAACTATGCAAAAACGACGTTTGTACCTATTGGAAGTCAGGCAGATCCACATATGGCGAATGGTAACAGTCAATCAACCAAAATATCGGGTAGAAATTCGCTTTTTGTAAATATTAACTTGATGCCAATTATCTTAAATAATCTGATCTGTTATGTTCATTGGCATTGTTATAAGCTAACCTATGAGAAATATACCCTTTGATTGTTACAAACAGTGATGACATTTTCACGTGTTCCCAACCATATAGTTCTTTCCATTCGGTAATCCAACAGTGCGTTTTTTATGCAACTCTGCTTTCAGAAAATTTTACAAAAAATCAAAAATGATAGATCATCTAATATTTTGAAACCACTGGCTTAGAGGATATAGGCTAGCATATCTTTCACAGGAATTACTCAAATCTCTAAAAATATCTGTAATGCAAAAGCTGTAATTTAATCGAATCATTTCAAAAACCTGTAATTTTGCTCCAAACCGAGGAACATTGAGGCAGTAGATAAGGTAATGCGTCACCGCAGATATCAAAGATAATGCTACTGGAAAGTAGGTTCCCAAGTAGAATTCAGTAGTACGCCCCATACTAAAACACTTGTACAATTAGAAACATTGTATTTAATATTAAACATTGCAAATCTACACGAAATTTTAATCAGTGTGCATCAATATGATGATGGAACTGTACAGGCAAGCAGATATTGCTAGTGTTAGTTTGGATTTCAGATGCAAAAGGTCTACTAGATCAAAATAATTAACACTGATGTATGGGATCCCACGTGGAATTCATTAAAAAGTGTGTTGATAACACTAACGTAATATTGCAAAGATAGCTGCGATTGTGCAATTTTTCCTTCATGGGTAGATGTCAAGAACTCTTGTAAAATTATATTTTCATGGTTACGAAGTTTCATAAAAACGAAAATGAATTGTCATGGTAGTAATTGAAAGCTTTTACTAGAAATCGAAAGTGGGTTCATTTTAAGAGAGGTGTATGATCTACTAATGAGAATGGAATCAGTGGTAGCAAAATTACCAGGCGCCAAAAATTATAAGATTTTTGCATCTGTTTGTCTTTTTTAACTTTCCAAATGGAGTAGTGGAGGAGACGATAAGCCGTCAGTAGTAAAGAATATCTTAGTCTAAATTTAAGACATGGCTCCGAAGTATACAGTAAATATCAAAATGGTGGTGATGACATCTTGGTCATCATTGTTCACCAACAACGATTCCAGATCTTTCGGAAGCCAACTTCTCCTATCTGACTCCGCAACCGAGCAACGGCGGCTATGTTTACGAGGGGACAATGGGCTTTCAACCTGCACCCTTTTGCTCGCCTGGGGCCACCACCACCGCCACCATCCTTGCTGAGGTGTCGCCTGCAGCTGCTACTGCCACAGCATCACCGCATGCACAATTGCTGGCCGCTACCGCCACAACCGGTCCCGATGGCATAATCCGTCTCTCCTGCCTGCCCCCCAAACAGGCCCACACCCTTGGCAGATGCACCTTTCTCGGCCAAAAGAAACTGGTGAGTTTTGTGGAGCTCTGATGGTTATTTAATCGAATAAAAGTAGCGAGAATCCCAAAAGTGAGGCAATTCTTACATAAAATGGAAGTTGTGGAGTCAACATAAAATTTTAAGTTGCTTGTTAAAATTAAAAATTGAACTTATTCCCAGAGACCAACAGGGTGTCTTAATGTTTGAGCATTTGTTTAAGAAGGTAATGAATACAAAATACAGGCGTTTGACTGCAAATCGGAGAAATGTTTTCTATTTTGTGAAAAAAACCATTGAAAAGGTGAGTCATTATCATCATCAAAAATGAGAGTTGAATTTTGTAAGTTCCATTTATTTCATTAACAGTTAGTGATACCGTGACCATCTCTTAGTAGAAAAAAACGTAAAACAGAAATATTCTTAGAGGCTTTTAGGTAGATCATTGTAAAGAAACCATAAACAGGGAAGCTACCTAAAAAATTAGTGAAATTTAGCGAATTTCGTAGAAGTTGGTGATGATCCATTGGTTAGACAGTTGCCTATTAATGCAAAGAACCCAAACCATGGACAATTCCGTCTCCCCCTCTTTTAAAATGAAGATGGTAGACGGGATGAAAATCTTTGCCTGCACTAAAACCTCTAAATGAAATGGTGAAGTTACGCAGATTTTAGGTGATATGTTTAGGTACCCTGGTAATTTGACATATTTTTAAGTAGGCAAAATATTTCAGCCATGGCGCGAATTTTCATAGGCCTTCACAACCCCTTTCAAAGAAGAATTCATTTGACGCCAATTGGCAGCAAGCTAAAAAAATTCAATCACGCCATTTCCGAAGGAGTCTCCAATTTTCTTATGTTAGATATTCATCATTGTAGTAATGAAGGTGCGGGGACTTATCAACTTTTCTCTCACAAATCTGAAAAATCGCTTTTTTATCGAGTAGTTGGCAAAAATATGGCCGAAATTTCCTGTCAACATCTTTCGTAAAACTTGTTTGCAGAAATGGGTGCTCTGCTTAATTGTTCGCAAAGCTAGAAAACTGTATCCTAATGTAAAGCAGTTTGCCACCAGAGGTAGTACTTCGCATTGCGAAATAGCACTCGTTTAAAGTGCTTGCCTATAGTGCATCAGAAATACTGGTTGCGATGACAAGCGGAAGTATGAATTAACGCTCCATGACACTGGATGATCCTTTTTACCTCCTGAAATTTCCTCAGGATGGAATAAGAAGAAAGAATGCTGCACATTAGTGTGGATTTCAAAACAATTCACTGTTTGGAGAAAATCGAGCTTGTTTTTTAAGTTGAGCAATATTTTAAAGGCAAAATAACACAACAGTGGTGGAATGATGTATATTTTAAACGTCGAAGAATTTTAAAACTAGACGTTATTTTATGCATTTGTATTTTCTTTTCAAATGCTATGCATTTCTTACCTTAACCGCTATACTGTGGTTTTAGAATTCCCATTTTAAGACCTAACTCCATTCGGAAAATTTATCAACAAAGAGACAACTATTAGTTTAAGTCGCTTTTGATACTTATAATCTTAGATTTGACTGGATAGTAGGATGAGGAGGTACAGTGATAAGAGAAGAGACTTAATTCAAAAAGGGAAATGCTTCCAATTGCAGATTTCTGTAGCGAGCGTAATTGGTGACATGCAATGGAACTGAAATGACATTTGCAAATTGAATTATTTCTCACTCTAACTTGAAACCATATTTTGACCTGTTAATAATCTCTGCTTCTTATTTAATAAAATCATTCAGATTTTCGGATGCCGAAGCAATTTGCAGGGATTTAAATGCTGCTAAAGAAAAGTCGACACGACATTTTCCGAACTTATTGGTTGCCATGATAACCAAAGTGAATTGGACTAACGGGCACAAACATCATGTTTTATTATTATTATTTTAATTAAACCATAAAGTTGGATTTTAATAGAAAAACCTCGTTAATTCAGTAGCGGACCCGAAACACTTGACGGAACCATTTAAGACTTTCATACAAAGAATTCATTTACAAAACAACCAATCGCACCAACTGATCATCATGACAAATCAACTTCACCCAATTACATTTCTGGTGTCTGGGGCTATAATACTTTGCATCAAATCCTTTTTATTAGTCATTAAGCTTGACAAGATAATTACTTTCATGTCACTCGATTGTCGTGCTCATTAAAAGTGGAATAGTTCTCGAAATTAGACCTTTCTTTATGAAATTTCGATTAAATAAGCATCTTATTAAACAAATTATTTTCTAAAAAAGGATTTTTACGAATGGGGGGAGTTTAAAATGTCTATGGCTTCTTACGAAGACTATCCTTGACAAACCTGAGATTCCAAGTAGCAAATACATTTATTTACTTCGAGGCCTGTAATTTTCAAGCTAGGTTAAATTTGTTTCGTCTACAAATCGAAATGCGCCTTAACACTTTGTGTGTTTTTGCACTTTTCTCTTTGTACCTTGACTACATTTCAACCCAAACTCCGTTTTTGCTACATCCAATTCCCTTTCGCCTCTAATTTACTCACCAGTCAACTTGATGAAGCCTCATCCTCCTCCCCTCTGAAACATGGCCTAATTTTAAGTAAAAGCGTTTGCCTTGTTTTTACAACGTGACGTTGACACCCGAACTCACTGGTGCCTTTTGCCGGCATTAATCCCCCACCCCCCCACCTCCTATCGGCATTATAGACATCCTGAACCGCTGTCTCCTGCACTAATACCTGAAAAACGTTTGATTTGGCGAAACTCCAGGTACTCTTTTTCAGCCCTTCTTGCCCCGATGCAGTCTTTGTGACCCTGTTTTGTTGCCGCCCAAAGGGTGTCTTTCAACTGGGCTTGCCCACATTGCCATGACCACTTCCTATGCCGTCTTTTTCAATAACCCTATCTAGTCTTTCAAGGGCTAATATTGGTGAATTTCAGGACAGAATTTCCACCAGATGGCTTTGTAATTATCTGTCCGAAATTCTCATTGCCATCAATTAATGCAGCTCGAATTCAAATATCGTATGCTTGAGTCGTGAAGATCATGTCTTGTAAATAAATTTCCTAGGAAAATGGTTTCACTAAGCTTCTTCGACTTTTATGATCCCAATTGATCGCAGGTTGATTAGTCGCCTCCCTTCCAGTCGACAGTGTCGCCGTGTGCTTTATCTGAAATAAGCAAGTATTGTCAAGCTAACTTCTGTTTCATATCCTTATAATAATTTTACATTGACGTAGTCATCATGCCCGACTGCGTCCAAGATATTTAGATTTCCCGTATTTGGGGTACTACCTTCGTTACAATCCCCCCCCCCACCTTTCTCTTAAATGACAGGCATGTAGACAGCTTGAGGCATTTAATTGAAGCAAACAGGCGGTACTAGATGAAACAAGCACCATATAGACTGATTTAATTCCCTCGCAATTTGTCATGTGAACAGCACTCGTGACAGTTGGTATCAGATTAATTTTCCTGCACTAAAAAAATTAATGACGCCATTGTTCTCCTCCTCCTCTCCCCCGGCACACAAACACACTCCATGACTCATTCGTAATGAGGACCAGCTGCCAGTTTTTGTATTCACTGGCAAAAATCCGATGTCAGGACGTTTCTGATGCTCAACTTTTCCCACCTTTGGGATGGAGTTCTGCCAACGGATCGTTTATTTGGGTGATTTAATTATTTTTTGTGCGACTTCAGTTTATATAAACTAATATTTTGATCGATGACTTAAGAGATAGGGGATAGTCGCAACACTAAGGGGATAACATTCAGGTGAAAACTACGCCACATGAGGCAGACCAACCCATCCCGGCGTAGGCTAGTCCATAGTAACGCCTGAATAAGATATGATGTACTCTCAATGTACATCTTCCAGGTGCAGTGAACTCACCCTAAACCAGTCCCCAAGCAAATTGACTTAGTTAATACGAGTTTCAAGCTAATAGGGATCAAGTAATTAATCACGAGTCTTTAAATATGCCTTTACAAAAGGTCTAGAGAGCAGTAATTACTGCTAACGTTTGGTTAATCATCCGTGACCAGGTCAAATGTTAACATAGTCAAAGTAAGTTGATTTATATTTTGCACGAATCATCCTTTTTCATTAGACAAGATTCTTATCTAAGCGGAAAGATAGATTTTGGAAATTAAATAGCATTGAAAAAAAGCCGGCAGTAAAGTTGGAAAAGAAATGAAGAGAAATATGCAACCAACGAAATTTGCATTCACAAATGAGAGTAATCATTATTATTCGATAGTCGTTTGTTTCGAATCTCTGTAAAGAACAACGTCTTGCATAAGGCGTAGCTTTCTCAATAAAATTTTATGGCATAAACACAAACACCCTTTCGGAGCTTAATGTGTACCCGCAGCCGCTATCAGAAGATGCTTTCTTCTTTAAGCGAGTAAAATTGTTATTAGGCAGAGCACAGGTTAGCTTGAAAGTTGTTATTATTATTGAAACGCTAACGTAGTCTAAAATCTAAATTTGAGTCCCTTGATTCAAACGACCTCTTAAGGAAAGTGATTCTGCACTTGGATAACTTGGGATTGCATGTTTATTTAGATTTCCTATACATGGAGCAGAATTATTATGAATGCTTGAATTCATCTTTAATCAGGATTATTAAGTTTTATACTCAATTTCATGACACTGCTTAAGGAAGAGGAGTTTTTAATTCCAAAGACTGGGAAATCGACAAACTCGCCTGTATAGTGTGAAGAATATAAAACAGAGCGGGTTAAAGAATGGACTTATAATAATGACGAAACACCCTAACATTGCGTCAATTGCTTGTTCACACTGCATCAGCTAAAATAACCTTACCAATCCCATTTGTGATTTATCATAAAGCATAATAAAGTGTCTGAATGCGCCCTAAGTAAAATAATCATAAAGCGTCTCAGACCAAGCGAATTAATCAGTAGATTTTTTCATTGTATATGCAATCAAAAAAATGTTACGAGGTCAGTTCTTAAAATTTTCGGAATAAAGGCTTTCAAAGTGCCTTCTAATGAACCAGTTATTTCTGGAATTAGTCAAGCCTTCACAGCATCTGCTTTGTGACTCGCTCAGCTTTTCTGTCCTGAGTTCTTTAGAGACCCTATTAATGTTCACTGCAGAAATGCTATTTTCGCCAATTCATTTAGAAGAGTCTTGTTTTCAGACAAAACGACTTCAGTTAAAGCAAGTAATTTGGTTGTATAATCAGTTCAGCGACCTCAGAACTGGACTTTTATCTAATACAAGGTACGTATTTTCTTCAACTTCCAAATTCTCTTTAGGCCTGAGTCACCTTGTCACCTATCAGGCCTGGCGTCATAGCACTGTAGGAAAAGGAGAAACGTTTTCTTACTCAGTAGTGTCATTTACACATTACACTGTTCTCAAATTTTATACTGCTATTGCAGTTAGTTTTGGAATGTGATTACCTGCCATGCTCGTGAAGTCAGAAGTTGGACCTGATTAAACCTAAGGTCTGCTCCCAGCAAAATTTCCTTTGCTGGGATAAGTCAATTAGTATAATGGCGTTAAATTATGTTTCAACGCTAACACTGGAAGGAGCTGTCATGATTAAATCTAATTTCCAACCGAATTAGTTCTCTACGCACCAGTGACAATCCATTTTCTCGAACATCTTGACATTGGGATGTTTCTCGAATTTTTATTATAGACAAAAGATACGATTTATATAGCCCGAAGAAATTTTTGCCAAACCTACAACTGACAGCATTTTGAGTGACCCTCTATAAAAAATGTCGGTTTTCCAATTATGTCTCAGATTTAATACATATTAGGCGAATTTGTCTACTTTATTTTGTTGATACAAGTCTTCTAGGGGATCTGTAAGGCATCTGTTGTTAGCAAAGGTCTGCTTTTTTCATCTATATGATATAGAGAGCCATTTAATTCAGAATTCAAATCAAGTACCATGAGAACATATTAAAACAACATATCACTAGATCATTTCAAAGCCATTGCTGTATCATAAAGTGTTTATAAATAATCAACCACAGTTTTGTTTTCCCCTACTGCAATTTTTTACAAGTTGGACTTCATATTAGATGGCTGTCTTTATTATGTATGGCTGTCAACTCGGGTATACAGAAATGGTTAACACTATGAATACAAATCTCAGGAAAGTCAACAAATTCTGGAAAAATTGCTCTATCTAAACCTGCAATTATGTTTACTGATTTAACATTTCTTATGTCTGAAAATGTGCAATAGAACTTTCACTGATGAATGTGTGAAGGGCTGAGAAATCCCTAAAAAGACTCTTGAGCACACGTTAGTACAATAAAAGGGATTTTAGGGTGAAAGGAGAATGACGTGTATGTAAAGTGCAGTGATTTCCTCCGCTTCCTCCGCACCGCTCAACACTTCCACGAAATTCTGTTTTAACGTGATTTTTTGTGAGAGAACACCCATTAAAATTTTCCGTAAAGCTCAAAGGATCATGGCATAAGAGAATTTGCCATCATCGTTACCCCTTGTGCAATCACGGTATTCGCTTTTAAAGCAACGTTATATGACCTTCCAAGGGATAGGACCTTAAACGCTTTAAGCATGCAATATGAAATCATAATATTTTCGCCTAAAAATATCACCTATTTTCCATGCCTTCCAAGCTCTTACTTTAAATTATCAGACTGTTATAATCTGTTTAATGGTGGAATAATGTCCCTATATTTTTACCTGTTTCTTAGTACTTTTTTCTATCTACTGCTTATAACACTCCAATGATGAGCATTTTTACAAACTTGGAATTTAAACTCCTCCACAAGCAGTAGAGAAATTTTCTTCCTTTTTGTCTAAAATCAGAGCAAATAAGAGGGTGATGTTTTTCTAGCCTTGGCTAACGTGAAAAGGAGCGATTCTTCCTTAATAACCCGTGAGAAGTTAATGAAATGCAGAAGTGGGTTTTTAAACAACCTTATTTTCTCTCTAGTAGGAATCAATATTTTCATATTTGTGGACAAAAATCTTTAACGCTCCTTTTTTTCTTTTCCACGTAACGCTGAATTCTCTTCTCATGGTGCTGGCTGTTCGAGGGTTTATTTCACGTTCTAAAAGTAATAAAACTTTTTTGATTACTTTCTTTCTGGCTTTTAAATGTGTGGAAACGAACTGTCGTCATGAAAAGTGTAGATAGATTACATTGTAGTATTTTTTTTAACAAAGTTTTTTGTATGACACTATGCTCGCTGCCGCAATTCCTTATGCTTAGAATTCGACAAAATGCAAAGTGTTACATATTGCAAGTCAAAAATAATTTAGTTTTGCTTATTCTATTTTTCAATTTAACCAAATTTTTGGTGGCAAATAGAGAGTCAAAACGTGCTACTATGAAAATATTTAGTAGCATCTCAGTAGTAAGTGATATGTGGTAATAAATAGGAATGTGGCCATCTCTGTAATATTTTTTGTGGTTAAGTGCAATAGTGGGAGACTCCAATTTTCCACGAATATATTTAAGTTTATTTGGAAATAAGTTCTATTAAAAGAGCTCATTAGTAATGCTACTATTTGTGCCCTAGCTGTTTTAATCTCATTGTGCAACAGAGGTTTGCAATCAGACTGCCAAAGTATTAATCAGTTTATCAAATAATATTTAAATTCCCTGACACGTCAAAGCGTCAAATCATACACATGTGCCATGTCACTATACCCCTCGGAAGTGCATATAAATGATAGCATGTAATGTGACCAATCAAGAAGTGCTTTAGATTAAATAATTATTTCTGAAAATTTTAATTTATCCTGTAGTGATCGCACTTAATATCAAACATTACAAATTTATCTAATCCTAGAACTCAACAGGCGTATGCCCCTACGGATCATTATACCTAGCCTTCAATTCAGTTTGTAACCGGGATGTCTCACTTGTTCTTCATTCTATTGGTATTCGATTGTTTTTCACAATTTTTGGAAAACTGGTTAGTCTGCCTATATTTCGACAAAATGTATGAAGAACTGAGTGCGATTAATCAATTCTCAAGGAAATACATTAGGCATTTACAAAGTATTTTATGATGACTCCAACTGAAGTCGAACTTGAATTTATATTATCTGAAGGTCAATAATTTAGAATAATTCTAGATTCGCATTCTAACGGAGATATCATTTTTATGGCCTGCTTAGACTGAGGATCGAGTGAAAGGCAAGAGAAACAGTCTAACAGATCGAGACTCAGGCAATGGGGACAGCCTGGACGTCGGCTCCTGCCTGCTCAATTTCCCTTCCAGCCTGGAGGCGCCAAGAAGCACCACGCCCTGCTTCCAGCATCTTCAAAATCAACACCTCCACCAGTACCAGTTCCAGCCGCTCCCACCTACGTTGGCATTTGCCGCCTCCACTGAGTTGCAGAAGCATCAGCACCAACAGTACATAACCGCCTCTTCACCCAAGGAGGTGGTAGAGGCGGTGGATGCCAGTGGCAATCTATTAACCTCTACCTTCGTTTGATGCATTCCAGAGCAAATTACGCCCCTCTCCTTCCCTTCCCCTTCTCAACCATTCATTCTCTATCACCCCTCCTTCCATCTCCTAGTCAAGCGCTCGATGGGTTTGCTAAGGTGTACAGATGGACTGCTCCAAATAATCTTGCATTTATGTATTCCTTCCCCTCTATTACTATACCTTAAAATGTTCGCTCCCCTCCCCTATCTCTTGCCATTTCCGTGTGAATGGAAAAGGGGAACTAAATTTTTAAAAGCTGACCTTTCCATTCATTTTACTGAGTCAACTACTACAGTCTAACGCTGTGATAAGTTGTGGAAGAAATCCAGAACCTGCAGAAATTTCCAACACATTAGAACCCCGTGTGGACAAATGGTAGATGATTAGGAAGGCAAACAGATAACCCCAATGAAACTTGAATTTAATATAGACCCAGTCTAATTTTGGTTAGATACTACCTCCTGGCTTTCAGTGTTACCCGAGAAAGTCATGTATAACAGGTACTCATAAATGGCTATTAGTAACTACATAAAGTATTAAAGTACTAATTTATTTGTTCATAAAGCTGTTTACTTTTATTTTGGGAAAATCAAAAGGATTAACTGAAACGTAATGTAGAGAATCAGACAGAAGAAGTGGTTATATGAAATAGAGACAGCTCCATTCGACTGTCAAATTTTCTTGACTTTACTGTTATTCACTTGTCAATCTAGAAATGGCTGTTTGCCTCTTAAAATCAGTATACTCCATAAAAAGGATGTGTAGAAGACCACCCTATTTTTTAAAAGTCCTTTTTACTGTTCTGGATAGTATTTTAGGCCAAAAAATGAGAAAATATTCGTATCCATTGCATCACAATTGACATCCAAAAGTAGTCATGTGGTGAAGTGAGCAAACACGGTAACTGAGTAATTTTGGAGCCTTTTTTTTTAAGAAAGCTGAGTATTTTCATAACGCTTCTCGAAAAATTTTCTCTTTGGAATAATTTCCATTACGTCTTATTATCTCTCGCATTTACAAAAATTTTTGTCACTCGGAGCAAAAATATG